TATTTAAATCTCTCCCTGACTATGGGATATTTAGGTCACTGCATGTTTTACTATTATAAATTATTCTGCAGTGAACATCTTTATGCAAATAGCATTATATTTGCATAAAATATTTTATATTCATTACTTCCTTGTTCACTATCAATCCAGGCCAGCTCTTAAGCACCACACACCTCAGTTAGCAGATTAACAAGCCCATCAGGGGCCTCCCCAGTGGCGCAGCGGTTGAGCGCTGGGTTGCGAAGCTGCCCATGGCCTCTGCGGCGCCGGTTCGATCCCCGGCTGCTCCCCGGCCACCGGAGGAGGGTCCCACATGGCGCGCAGACCTCTCCTGCCGCCCGCTGCTCCCCTCAGCAGTGTACTTCGGTCCTTCTGCCTGCTCTGCTCCCCGCTCTGGCTCTGGTGAATTCTCTCACCCTCCCGCGCTTCTGACTGTACCCAGTGCATGTATAAACAAAAACAAACAAACAAATAAATAAATAAATGAATAAAATACGTGCCTCTTTAAAAAAAAAAAAAAAAAAAAAAAAACAAGCCCATCAGTGTCCTCTACTTCTGATCTATCCTGAATAACACTGAGATTAATTATCTTAAAATGCCTTTCTCAACATGTCACTTTCTTAAGATAGCCTGAGCTAGCCATCTTCCACAGAGTATGATTTGACTGCCCTATTGTACTACTTATACTAAAAAGTGAAGTCTATTGGGTCCCAAAAGCTAATCAGCAGAAATCAGGCAATAAACTAGAGGCAGGGGATTGGGAACAATGTTGGGTCTCAAGATGCATGCATGCCACAGTATCCGCTGGAGCAAGAAAACCTTGGGTCAGTCCAAGTCGGATATACCAGGTCTCACTGGTGAGGGCCAAACACCCATGGCCACTGAGCAGTGGTAGCACACACAATCAAGCAGCACGGATATCAGAGACTAAGGGAAGTTTGCCCAGATTGAAGGAGATTTAGAGTAAGCAGCGTCAGAAATCTGGGGGCACACGAACCAGCAAAAACTACAGAGGAGGGGGCAGAGCCAAGTCAGACAAGCGTAGGTTTCAGCCATGGCCCCATAACTACCAGGTCACAAGAACCAGACAGAAGCCCATTTGTACAAATGAGGACTTTATGGGCAGCAGTCAGGAGAGATATGCATCCCTACAAGCAGCACACAAGCTTGCAAGCAATAGCTTCTGAGGGACTCACCACGTCAGATGTCTGGTTGAAAGCAACAAACTACGTCAGGAACTAGTAGACCTGGGCTTTTAATCTATTACTCATGGATTGAGAAAGTCTATTACTCAAAGACTGAGTAGATAGCCTGCTGCTATAGATATCCACTATCTGGACATGGCAGAAGACCCCTCCCCCAGGAGATGAAATAAGCAAAAAGCATGTATCTATGACATCTATGTATGTCTAATCAAATGCTATGTATGGTACAGTCCACCAACATCCTGGCACTCCTTCCTTTTGACTTGAAGGTATTATCATTGTCAAAAAGCTACATAATTCCCTGCCAGCTTCACACAAGCAACACTTTAATGTAAATTATCCAGTTCTCCACAAATTGAGAATTAGCTAATTGCTGATTTGGGTTGATGGTGGGAAGAAAGCCAAAGGAATTCAGAGTTGGTAGTAGGCTGTTAGACCTTAGTAAGGGTTCTCCAGGGAAACAAAACCAATTATATAGATATACACATAGATACAGAAACAGGTATATAGATATAATTATGGGTCCATATATTCAGAGAGAGAGGTGGAGGGGAAAGAGGAGGACCACAGGAGGAGAAAGGCACGAGGATAAGAGGTAAGGGGAGAGAGTTAGAGAGATTCAGCTTAAGAAACTGGTTCAATGGGCCTCCCCAGTGGTGCAGCGGTTGAGCGCTGGGTTGCGAAGCTGCCCGCGGCCTCTGCGGCCCTGGTTCAATCCCCGGCTGCTCCCCGGCCACCGGAGGAGGGTCCCACATGGCGCGCAGACCTCTCCTGCCGCCCGCTGCTCCCCTCAGCAGTGTACTTCAGTCCTTCTGCCTGCTCTGCTCCCCGCTCTGGCTCTGGTGAATTCTCTCACCCTCCCGCACTTCTGACTGTACCCAGTGCATGTATAAACAAAACAAACAAATAAATAAATAAATAAGTAAAACATGCCTCTATTAAAAAAAAAAAAAAAGAAAAAGAAACTGGTTCAAGCAATTTGGGGGACTGGTAAGTCCAAACCTGTCAGAGCAGACTAGGAGGCTGAACCCAGAGAAGAAGTGATACTGCAGTCTTGAGTCCAAAGGTAGCCTGAAGGCAGAATTCCTTCCTCTTTAGGGAACCTCGGTCTTTTCTTTTCAGGCCTTCCTCTAACTGGATGACCCCTCTCTCCCATTATTGAGGATAGTCTGCTTTACTCAAGGTCTGTTAAGTTAAATGTTAGTCACATTGAAAAAGTAACATCTAAACTGAAGTTGGCAAAACGGTAACAGGGTGGTCTCCAGGAAAAGGGTTACTTCCAGGTTCCCTGCCCCCCCTAAGGGAGGGTGGAGCTGAGCAGGGAGATAAGCTGTAGGGAAGGAAAGAAGGCGGATGGAGAGCCAGAAGGAGACCTGGAGGAGGCACATGGAGCAGAGAGACACATGAAGAAGCTGCACTTGCTTTTTGGTCCTGGACTGGTTGAAACATGTGGGTGAGAGACCCATGGGGAGGTTAACAATGGCAGCTTTTATCTTGGTTGTGATTTTTCTCTTTTCCTTACAGACTTGTCTGGTTGTGTCTGACCCTTTTCTATGTGTCCCCACCACAAGGTGCTTCAGGCTTGTGGAAGGCTTTCAGGCCTCGGAAGCCCTGCTTTGGGCCAACCCTGTTTGTCTGGACATTTACCCACGTGGGGATGGGTAACTTTGGGTGCTTGACTTGGAAACTATATTCTTCCTCATCCTTCCCCTTTTCTGTATTACACACTAATTACGCACTGAAGTATGTTTTTTCTTCATGCGGCAGAGGGCAGAACCAATTTAAAGAAGGCAGGTTTGGGGTACCCCTCTTGCTGTCCTGTAACAAAACATCTGGCTACCAGATCCTAACCATGTTGATGCATAAAATTAACCATCACAGTCATGAAACAAATGAACTTCCGTGTGTGGGAGAGAAAAATAGATGTATTTTCTACCAATTCTTTCTAATTATGTGGCCAGACCCAGGTTTCTTATTCTTGTATTTAAGGGCTTATTTCTCATGACCCCTAAATACAAACCTTCACCTGCTGAGTCAGTCAACCCTGCCTCCTTCCCAGTGAATGCTTCACAAGCATTCACCAATGGATACAGCTGCTTGCCATAAATCCTAAGTCTCTCTGTCTATCCAGACCTCCTATCTCCTTCAAGGACAAGCTCACAACAACGCTTCTCCGCCAACACTTCTTTCACATGTGGGCTCAAAACTGAGATGTCAGTTCCTCTCTGACTAAATCAGAAAAAATATAATGAGGCATCAACAAAAGCCACAGTTAGAGAAATGAAACCTGGAACTAGAATTTTTCCCTTTGCTTATTAGTTAATGTGAAAAGAATCCAGCTATACAAGGGAATACATTTGAGAGAGCTATTCTCCACCTATTTATGACATTCAAAAACATTGCAGCATCTCTTCAAGGTCAAACACATTTATTTATAGCTGAGTTCTGCTTCCTTTAAACTTTTCAGTGTTAAATCACATGTGTAGTTGACTATAGCTGAATTAAGCACAGATGATCATATAGTTTATTTCATTACTGAGATAAAATTTACACACAGTTAAATAGATCTTAAGAGTACAATTAAATGCCTTTTGATTAATGTATACACATGGGTCACTACCATCCCAGTCAAGTTAAAGACATTTCTATCACACAATTGTTTCCTCAGGGAACTGACTTTTAAATTTTTCTCTTTTCAGTTTTTGCTTTTCAAATTCATGATGAACTTATTTGATAAGTGAAAGTTTTTACTTCTTTACCCCTTTTACCCTTTTCGCCTAGCTCCCCAACCCCTGCCTCTGGCAACCACCAGTCTTTTCCCTGTATCCTTCAGCTGGTGTTTTGTTTTTGTTTTCATTTTTATATTTTGACATGTGAGATAACACAATATTTGTCTTTTGGGTTATTTGACTATTTTATAGTCTCTCATTTTGATTTGGTTGATGACTTTTTATCTATATACTTCAGTTATTTTTAGTAATTGCTTTAAGGATTTTAACATAAACCTATAACTTGTCACAATCTACTGAGAGTTGTAGTGTACTACTTTATATAAAAATAACCTAATAATACAGTTTTATTACCACTTCCCCAAACATTGTGAGATTTTTGGGTCATATTTAATACATTTACTTTGGTGTTAATTATTAAATGTTATAAATCCTGTACTATAGTGTTGTAAGTTACTTTATGCAATGTTATTTTTTTTTATTTTTTTTTTATAGAGGCATGCTTTATTTATTTGTTTGCTGGTTTGTTTGTTTGTTTTGTTTATACATGCACTGGGTACAGTCAGAAGCGCGGGAGGGTGAGAGAATCCACCAGAGCCAGAGCGGGGAGCAGAGCAGGCAGAAGGACCGAAGTACACTGCTGAGGGGAGCAGCGGGCGGCAGGAGAGGTCTGCGCGCCTTGCGGGACCCTCCTCCGGTGGCCGGGGAGCAGCCAGGGATCGAACCGGCGCCGCAGAGGCCGCGGGCAGCTTCGCAACCCAGCGCTCAACCGCTGCGCCACCGGGGAGGCCCTATGCAATGTTATTTTTTAAGAAAACTCTTAACTCTTACATTTACCCAAATATTATTTTCTGTGTTCTGTATTCCTTACATTGGATCCAAGTTGCCATCTGGCATCATGCCCCATCCCCTTGAAAATTCCCGTTAGTATTTCTTAGAAGATAAATATGCTGAGTACATATTCTCAGCTTGCATTTATCTGAAAATACCTTTATTTGACTTCATTTTTGACAGATAATTTGCTGCATGTAGAATGAGGGGCTGCCAAGTTTATTTTAGTACTCACAGATGTTATCTAATAGTTGTTATGGGTTGAATCACATTGTAGTAGCTTAGCTTCTGACTGGGGGATACACTCTGAATGGAGTTTATCCAACAGGGGTTGCACTGGTATCAAAACCTGTAGAAAGGGGAAAGAGTGGTCAGAAGGAAAAGGTGATCTGTGCTATATGCCTCTGTTGACTGCCTGGAGAGATGTGAAGCAAAAATGGCCCTTCAGATTCATGCACTGGGTCAGGATTCGTGCACTGGGTCAAGATGGTCAGGTCTTTTTACTCCTTCATTGATCAACCACTGGCTGTAATTATCCCAGGGAGGGGCATGATCTTGAGTGAACCAGTGCTCTACAGCCGAGGCAGTCCATGAGAGAGGCTGACAACTGAAAGCCATTTGCTAATAGCCCTCCTCCAGTTGGGACAACACTTCTCCACTGGGGGGATGCTGGTGTGTATCAGCTTATGGCCCCATTGTTTCTGATGCGAAGTCTGCCTTCATTTGTTTCTTGTTTCTCTTCATATAATTTGTAGCAGGTCATTTTGCTCATCATTGCAACATTAGAGAAGAAATCCTGGAAATCCTGGTTGATAGCAAAACAAGTACCTAGTTCCATTATACATTATTTCCCTTAAAGTTGATGTTAACTGAGTACTTACTGTATAGGTTTTATTTTCCCTTGGTTCTTTTATCTTTGGATTTTGGTAATTGGTCGTATGCCTAGTATGGTTTTCTTTGTGTTTATTCTGCTTGGGTTGCATTGACCTTGGATTCACAAGTTAAAGTTTTTACTAAAATTGGAAGTTCCCAACCATTATGTTTTCAAAGATTTTTGTGTCCTTCACCCCTCCCCCTCAAATTCATGTTTAAATCTTACTTCCTCTCCCCCACCATGTGATGGTATTAGCAGAAGGGAACTCTGGGGGTGATTAGATCATGCAGGTGGAACTTCCATGAATGGAAGTTCTCTTTTAAAGAGACCCATCACAGTAAGAAGACCCATTTGTCAACCAAGAAGAGGGGTCTTACCAGACACCAAAAATCTGCCAATGACTAAGTGTTCAATGTCACAGATTCCACAGCTCTAAGAAATAAATGTGTGTTGGTTAAGTTAACCAGTCCATTGTATTTTTGTTAAAGTGGCCAAAACAAACTAAAACAATCTCTTTGCTGTTTCTAGTTTGCTGCTGAGATCCCCCCATCCCTTCATTCATTATGACTATATTCTCCTGTAAATCCTTGGTCATATTTATAGTAGCTCTTTAAAGCCCTTGTCTAATAAGTATCACTTAAGGTTTGGTTTTCATTGACTATTTTTCTTCTAGCATATGGGTCACATTTTTCTGTTTCTTTACATATTTGCTCATTTTATTGTATAAGAAACATTAGGAAGGATACATTGCAGAGATTCTGGACTCTATTCTACTCTGTCCTATTTACACTATACTATTCTATATTGCTCAGAAGAGTGTGATTTTCTTTTCTAGAGGGAAATTAGCTTGGCTGGATGCAAGCTCCTAAGTCTGTGTCCTCTGTTTTGAACTGCAACTAAAATCTATTTTCAATTCTTTCAGTATCTAGCTTGCACTTTTCCACTGTGCTCTATGACCTTCCCAATTGATGCATACAAGATTTTAAGTAGAGTTACACTCAGATGTGGAGGCTCACATCCAGTCTACAGCACCCTCCATTCTAGAACCTCCCCTCAACTTCCCAGTTTCTCTGAGTCCTGGGCTCTGTACTCTGATACCGCGATCCAGTAGGGCTGCAACTTCATCCTGAGCCACCTCGTAGACTGGTGAACATCTTTGAGCAAAAACGGAACACTCAGAATATACACTGGCACAGTTCAGCTCTTTTCAGTGTCGATACCTCTCCAGTTTCTGCCTGCATTTAGTCTCTGTCCACTGTCTTCAAATTTTTTACTTTTAATATTTTCATCCAGACTTTATCATTGTTATCACTGGGAAGGCTAGTCTAACCAATCTATAGCACCATTACCAGAGGCAAATTTCCCAGCTTTGCTATTTTACTTCATACTAGAATCATGTGCCTTTCCCCATCCCATTTTTCTTTGTTGGCTGAACAAGAATTTTGTTCAAATGTCCATTCTCTTCCCACATATCTCCAGGGGTAAAAGGTGATCTGTCAATGTCAGAGCTGTAATTTGTTTCTCTTGCATGCGTGGTAAGTTTAGGAAGGGTCATTTACAAGTCAGAAAACAAGAAGCTACTCTTTGTAGTTTAAATATAAAGAGCTTTAATATAGAAAACTGGTGACTTACCCTGAAAAGAAAAACCTAAGGGAGCAGTGGTCAGAGAAATCACGACTGACCTTCTCAACTTGAAGCAGATGGTTCTCAAAACTCACTGTGAATTTCTAGGAGTATCACATCCACTCACAATTCTGCCTGCAAATGACCACAGAATAATGATCTCCATCCCTCTGACTGAATCTCATCAACATACTCTAACCAGGAACCATACGACAAACGGGATTCAGGCAAATGTAGCTTCTAACCTCTTTTCTTCACAGCAAAGGAGATCTTAGAAGGGGAAGCAGTGATGCTCAGCCAACACCAGGTAAACCAACACAAGGCTTGTGACTCAAGTCAGCCGAAGGAACAGGAGGGGAAAGGAGCTGGAGAGCCTCTGCTAAAGATAGATTTGCTGATAAACTAAATAAAACAAAGAATGACAGGAAGAACAGTCCCTCTTCTTCCATGGAATATTTTCATGTGATCTTGGAGCTGTATCATCAATCTTGTGATCAGAAGAGGAGCCAGCCGAGATGGATGCAAGCATGGTGTCTGAAGCCTTTCCAATGGACATCATTTTTGTAAGAACAGATGCTATTATTGAAGACATTTTCAATTGTTTTTTTTTTCTGTTATTGTAACAGACACAGCACATTATTTAAATCATGGAAGTTAATCCCAGAAGAAACCATTTAAATGGGTGAAAGTACAGCTATTAGGGAGCAAGGCTGGGGGTAATGAATGCGGTACAGGGCACATTTGTTTTTATTCTGTGCCTTGTGCTATTTGCCATTGTAAAGAAGATATACACACTACTTGGATAAAAATTAAATTAGAAAAGAGACAATCTGACAACTTATCTCCATCTCCACATCATGCTTGTCAAAAGAAATGGCAGTTAAATGCTACTGTTCTTCCTTGCTCTTATTTCAGGTGATCATCAATTCTGGCTGCCTGCTGACGAGCTTCCTAAGTGAACCCCATTCTCATCCCTCTAGATCTACTGTCTGTCACAAAAATCTTCATTCCAAAGAGTGAATATCATCACGTCCTTTTCCTGCTTAAAATCCCTAATTGGACTCACTGTTTCTACAAGATAAAATCCAAAGTCCGTAATATGAATCCTAGACTCTTCATGTTTTGGTCTCTGACACTCTTACGTCTGTATTCTAACTATTCTGATAATCTTGCTTTTCTCCAGATAGTCCATGCTCTCTCAAGCCTCCATTCCTTTGCATACATTGTTTCTTTGGCTTGGGATGCCCTTGCTAACTACTCCCTTTTCAGCTGCCTTTTCCGTGAAGATTTCTTACTCCTACTCCCCCAGTCCTCCCAGGGTCTCTTCTTCCAGGCATGTTGTGGATACTGATAACCTCCATCAGTGCATTTATATCACATACCAAAAATCAATTACTTGAAAAGTAAAAAATGTCTGAAAACTGAAATATTTTTAACTTATTTGGCGACAAAACCTGAATTTTTTTAAAGATTTGTTTATTTATGCATACAAGACTGGGGTACAGGGCAGAGATGCGGGAAGGTGAGAGGATTCACTAGAGACAAAGTGGGGAGCAGAACAGGCAGACTGACTGAAATACACTGCTGAGGAGAGCAGCGGGCGAGACAGTAGAGATCTGCTGTGCCATGTGGGTAGCTCCCTGGCTGGCTAGGGATTGAACTCGTGCTGCAGAGGCTTCTGGATAACTTCATAGTGCTGTGCTTAACCCCTTGTGCCACCAGGGAGTCCCCCAAAACCTAAATTTAACTATTTTTATTTATAATCTGAATTTATTCCACTTGTGTGAATATTAATTTTGTTGCGATGTTTGTACAGAGTGAAGCTTCAGACCCCACTGGAGGTATTATGCAGCACACACACCAGATGCCTATTCTCAAAGGACGACTGTAATATTTCTTGTCTCAGAAGTTCTTCTAGCACTTTCACTACTCATCAAGAAGTGAGGCCTATTTCCTTTCCCTCTTGAAACTGAGAGCAATTTTATGAATGTCTCAAAGAAATGACACTGTTTGACTTCCCAGGTCAAAAATGGTGTCCATTTTCCTTTCTGAAAGTGCTTGCCCTTGCACCTGAGCCATATGTCAGGAGTCCAGTCACATGGTGATTTCATGTGGAGGTATCTGGCCACAGCCCCAGCCTAAGTCTCAGTCACCAGGCAGCATCAATAGCCAGTCTTGCAAGTGAGTGAGCCTTCAGGTGATGCCTACGCTCAGCATTCAGGCACCCCAAATGTTTGCCCAGGGAGCAAAGGAAAGCTAGTGCCACCACATCCTGCCCCAAATAAAGTCTCATAACAAAAAAAAAAGTTTTGTTTTAAGACAGAAAGTTTTGGAGTAATTATCTGCAGTCATAGTGAATGGAATCCCATCATTATTTCACTAAAATGTGAAATACTTTGAATTCTAAAACCCATCAAAGGCTTCAGATAATATCTGTATACTAAAATTATGTTTAGAAAACACTAAAAGTGTTTTGATGACAACTAAGTCTTTTAGTATTCTCAAACCAAACCAGTGTTCAAGATTGTGTAGGTTCTTCCAAAACACACACTCCACCGACTGGGAGAAAATTTTTGCACACAACACTAATGATAAAGGATTGATCACAAAAATCTACAAAGAGCTGAAGAGTCTCAACAAAAACAAAGTAAATAATCCAGTCAAAAAACGGGCAGAAGAGCTAAAAAGGAACTTCTCCAAAGAGGAAATGTGAATGGCCAACAGCACATGAAAAAATGTTCAGCATCACTTGTAATCAGGGAAATGCAAATCAAAACTACCATGAGATACCATCTTATACCAGTGAGAATGGCACATATTAAAAAAACTAGCAACAACAAATGTTGGCAAGGATGCAGAGAAAAAGGAACTCTCGTGCACTGCTGGTGGGAGTACAAACTGGTCCAACCACTATGGAAAGCTGTGTGGCGATTCCTCAACCTGCTAAAGATGGAGCTTCCATATCATCCAGCAATTCCACGCCTAGGTATTTGCCCAAAGGACACAGAATCATTAATTCAAAAGGGCACCTGCACCCCTATGTTTATAGCAGCACTATTAACAATAGCTAAGCTCACTATTAACAATAGCTAAGCTATGGTAACAACCATAATGCCCAAAAATAGATGACTGGATCAAGAAGATGTGGTCCATATACATGATGGAATATTACTCAGCAATCAAAAAAGATAAACTCATGCAATTTGTAGCAACATGGATGGAGCTGGAAGGGATCATGCTCAGCGAAATAAGCCAGAAAGAAAAAGAAAAATACCAGATGGTATCACTCATAGCAGGAATTTAGAAAACCTAAATAAGGGACCAGAAGAAAGACTAATTATAATAAAGTAAAAATCAAAATCAACAAGCAAATATAAGCCAGAGACATACTAGGGGGCGGGGGGAGGAGGGATTATGGTCAAAATAAGGGGGGTGAGAATTGTATGGGGACTATAACCAAGATGAAAATGTGCAAAAATGAAAAATGGGGCCTCCCCTGGTGGCACAGGCGGCTGAGCGCAGTGCTGTGAAGCTGTCTGCAGCCTCTGCAGCACCAGTTCGATCCCAGCTGGCCAGCGAGGGTCCCACATAACGCGGCAGACCCCTCCTGACTCGCCTGCTGCTCCCCTCAGCAGTGTATTTCATCAGTCTGCCTGTTCTGTTCCCCACTCTGTCTCTGGTGAATCCTCTCACCCTCCCACGCATCTGGCCTGTACCCTAGTTCTTGTATAAATAAATAAATAAATCTTCAAAAAAAAAAAAAGAAAAATTATGTAAAAAATATATAAAATAAAATTTAAAAACAGATTGTGTAGATTCTTGATCATGGTATCTCCCCTGCCAGGTAAGTATAAGATTGTGTAGATTCTTAAGGCATTTCTATTGAATTAATGTTTAATGAAAAAATGAATAAGCAAATGAGTAAACACAGCTCCAAACAAATGGTTATCTTGAAATAGTTATTTTCAGTATCTGAACTCTACAAAGTTTCATTAATTTTTCTATCCTGTAGTTATCCAAAAGTGTTACATATTATGATTATAAACTTCACTATCAATATCCATATTAACATTGCTGTTTCCAAAAGTCAAATGCCTCTTTATGTATAAAGATTTTCCATTACTGAGGATAATTAAAGCAATTTGACTCTGAAGGTAATTTCAAAACAGGAAATCCCAATGTTTATGAACAATGTAATGTTCAAATGCAGCACAATGCAATGATGCAGAGATACAAAGATTTCAGCATCTATAGCACAATTTTGAAAGAAAAGAAAACCATTAATTATAGTATAAGTTCTATCTGCATGGCAAAAATATCTGTTTATTTCATGCTTACATGTCATGTCACACAATCATTTAACCCTATGAAGAGAAAAGGAAGAAAGGAGGTAAAGCAAAAAGTCATACCATAAAGATATGAATAGATGATGTCAATTTATCTGTTAATGTTCTTGATGAGAATAAATGTTTTAGTTCTTCTCAGGGAATGTTATAATGATGGAATAAATGAGGTACTAGATTTACAGTTTTGCTACCCAACATTTGTTTGATCAGAATGTAATAAGCTAGGTTTTATGTTGGTATAACTCAGGATAATTCACAGTCAGAGAAAAATCACTGCTGACAGCAAAAAAGTCATTAGATAAATAAAAATATTAACTATAGTCTCTCAAAAATATGCCAAAAGGGGACAAATCTTACAACCCACAGCAAAACTTCAAAATCTTTTTCTTTCTCCTCTAAGACATCTCAGGGACCTCAGTGGGAAAACCACCTCCAGGACCTGCTTCCTTTCTCTCCATATTCTTCAGTAATTCCCCTCTGCCTCTCTTATGGTCCCAAACATATCACTTTGTTCTTGCTTCTGACTTAACTCTCAAATTCTGTTCTTTTTTCATCTAACTGCCTTTCTGAGATCAATTAAACTGGTCTTGGCTGCATTTAACTTACTTCCATCTCCCTTTAACCTGGTCCATGCAAGAGGAAACAATACAGGTGAAAAGAAAATTCTCCTTTTCAAGGTAAGGATGAAGAGAAGCTGTGAATCCTCAAATAATACTATTTTTCTTGTCATACAACATTTTACAAGCAGAATTACACATTCATCTCACTAAATAGTAGTAATATGGTTTGTAACCTCAACCAAACATACTATTAGTATATCATTAAGTACAACATGGCTTGGTTACAGATACCCAATGAACAGTTCAGGGACCACATAGTCTCCACTCTTATGCCTCCTTTCCCTGTCTCTACACTCAGAGCCACAGGTGAAGTTGTAGGGACCGAAGAGTGGCAAAGTTGCAGAAATTCCCATTAATGATAGGGTTGCAAAATAAAAATAGGGCACTCAGTAAATCTGAATTTCACATAAAGAAAAAATAATTTCTTAATATGTCCCACATATTGATGGGACATACTTATCCTTTTTTAAAAAATTTAAAGTATTCATTATGTGAAATTCAGGTTTAAGTGGGTGTGCCTATTCCGTTTCTTCAGCCCCCAAATCAGGTAAACCTAAGTTATGATAAATGATGAGAGGGATAACAACCAGGAGTGATACCTTAGACTTAAAAACTGGGAATTCTCAAGTATAGATTGCCTCTTTAACTTCCCACAAAAAAATGTACCTAAAACATATGAATAGCACAAAAGCAGTCTGAAAACAGTAGAACCAGACAGAGGCAGCCTGGAGTATTAAGATGCTTAAATAACTGGAAATGTTTGATTGGTGAACTATAGACAGAGAGCAAGTTGGCTCATCCTTAAAAAGCATATGGTGTTGTAGCCATATGAAAATTTACTTGTCAGCACAATTCATACAGACAAGCGCAAAGTCTCTTCTCATTTCCTGGAAGGGAGTTGGGAATTTCAAAGAAAAGTGCTTGTAGAGATGTTTTAAAATGTGAAGGAAATGTGCATTGCCAGATTCAGAAAACATGTAGATCAAAGATACAAGAATAAAATGTAACTACACTGACCTGGAAATTTAAAGATGGTACAGGGTAGGCATCAGCCAAAATGATCCCAAAAAAGTATTTTTTTAATAAAAAACACTAACACAAGCTTAGCAAAAAGGTGAAAATTTAAAGTGATGAATAGATCTAATCTACTTCCCACTTTCTTATCTTTAGTGTTAACTGTTCTCATAAAAAAGGAATCTCAATTCTTCAGAAAATGAAACTATTGCAGCATTACTTCATAGGACTAAATGATTACTCTAAAAGCAAATATGGGATATATTTACATTTGTTATGTATATAATATACAAACTCTATTATAGTATATACTACTATAGACTATTTCAATGAAATAGCAAAAATTACTAAAAATGTATAAATGTATCTGTTAGATAGTTAATTGCTGATTATCGAATCATGAACTCAGGAGAATCACCAAATCACATAAGTTTTATAGCAGATAACCAATTCATTTGTTTGCTTTGCTGCTTTTAAGAATGACATTTCCCCCATAAGATATACATCTAGTCAAAACATTCTTGGGCAAAGCTTCAACTACAAAGGACAGTACAGATGAAGTGAGAGGCCCTTTGGTCAGTCCAATGGGGATGGAATGGGCACATGCTAATTCAGGGTTAGCAGTAGTTGGGGTGCTGAATGGTGTTCTGCTCCCCCTATTTGCTATTGCCAGCAGCCCAGGTGAAAGCAGGCCTTTCCTGAGAACAGAGTAGATAAAGAGGGAGGGGCATGTAGAGTACAGAAGAAAAATGGAACAGGATGAGGCTTTTCATTGAAGGCATGAACAGCAAAGGTAAGAAACTATCCTGCTATGTCTCCTCTGAAGAACTCCAAAATTTATTTTGTTTGAAAGAAATGCCATCCACTGAAATATGACTTCAGAGTTGTGAGTTTTAATTTTTTGTGTCACCTTGACTGGGTCATGAGGTACCCAGATTAAACATTATTTCTGAATATGCCTGGGAGGGTGTCTCCAGATGAGAACAGCAGTTGAATTAGTGGACTTCGTAAATCAGATTGCTCCCCAATGTGGGTGGCCTCATCCAAGTCACTAAGGTCCAAATAGAACAGAAGGAGGAATTACCCTGTTTGCTCCTTACCTGCTTACTTGAAGTAGGAGACAGGTCTTATTCTGCCCTTGGACTGGGATTTAAACTATTAGCTCCTCCAGTTCTCAGGTCTTGGGACTGGAATTATACCACCAACTTCCCTGGGTCTCCAGTTTAATGTAAATCAGGGGGCTTCTCAGTCTCCATCATCACATGAGCCAACACCTTAAATGAATCTCATATCTCTCCCAGTGGTTCTGTTTTCCTGGAGAACCCTTTTACAAGAATAAAGCCAAGTTCATTAAACATCATAGAAGAAAATAAACCCAAATTTACCCATCCCAGAACCTTTTCCAGCACATTGTTGCTGCCTACCCCCAAGAACTGACCTATGTGGATTCCATTTCCCATTTTGAATTTCATGTTTTCGAAGTGATGGCCCATGTAAAGATAGCAGTTCTTTCTCATCATAGCAGCTTACCAAAATGTACACCCATTGAAGACAGAAGCAATCTGTCAGGGACCTACAGAGCCTAAAACCTAGTAGCAAGTGCTTTGCATTCAGGTCAGAGATTCAGTGAATTAATGAATTCAACCTCAAATTGCTAACATATAAAAACACAATTATTGTAGTATTAATCTCACAAAGAAACAAACTGATTCACAATGCTGTCATTCTGCCTTTACAGTTCTCATCTGGACTCCTGAAGGGCAAGGTCTTGTTGCTTAGAACACAAGGCAGTCCTCTCGAGTTATCACGCAGCACCTTCACCAGCATTAAATTAGCGACAACTAAGTGAATGAAAGTACCGTCAGTTTCCCCATTGGGGAGAAAAATAAATGAAATCATATTGACAAAATACATCTCTCTTTTCTATAGTTGTTCATTTGACCTTTATCCCAAACCTTATTTGACATGATTAACCAAAGATTGAAAACTGAAGATATGAGATATACAAAAGCCTATTCGATTATCTAGTCCATGTTGTAAGCCATGAGTACAATTCTGCATTCCCTACAGAAATAATTTCTAGAACTTTGTCTAATCCATTTCTAGTAGGCTTCCTCTAAATGTTTTAAAGTCTTTTTCTGAAGAGCTTATTCCATGTAGGCATATCTTAAATGCCTGACAGTGTTTCTGAAACTTCTATTTCACTTTGTCTTATTTAAATTTTGCCCCATTACTCCTTGTTAGACCCTTTTCTCCATCACCATATTGTAGATAGTTTTCATATTCCTTTTTGGGCTTCACACATTAACTTGAGTAGACAGTATATGATATAAATTACAGAAAACAGCAATGTGTGAAGACATTCTGTGGTGAATAAATTAAAGCATTAATTTCAGACATATCAAACTAACACTTTTTAAATTTGTGGTTCCTACAATTTTCAGACCTGTTTCTAAAGTCTTTAGAATGGGGGAATTAAATGAAAGAGATAAGTCTAAAACATTTAGTTTTATTTCATAGGTTGGAGATCAGCCATTCCCATGAATATTTAAAAGAGGAAGAATTTTAAAAAGAGAACTTAACATAGAAGCCCTACTCATATTTAAGGAGATGTTGACATTCAGACATAAAGGTAAAAAAGATCGGATTTAAGCAACTCACTGGACACAATAACCATCAATCTGGCAGTTAGCAGAGAATTAAGACTGTCAATGAGAGAAGACTCTATTACTGACTGAATATCTGTGCAACTTGGTACAACAAACCTGAATTGACGGAAAAAGAGAAAATGTTTATAACAGTATGAAGAAATATTTTAAAAAAGGAGAGCCTAACTCAAATTTAACCAAAGTCTCTATGTGGAAAGGAAAACTTTTCTTTGCATAGTCTCTCCTGGAATCCTGGAGTACCTGGTTCCCATAAACAATACAGAATATACCTGGAACAGGCATCAATACTCACACACACAGAGCACAACATAATACATAACACCAATATTTCAAACCCTTTTCATAAGCAGGCATCACCCAAACAATAATATCTACCAACCAGATGTAGCAATTAAGAGAAATAGATAACGTTGAAATGTCCTTGCATTCCTCTAAGAGAAACCCCATATAAACATAAATAATAGTATTTGTGGGGCCTTCCAAGATCGCATTTTCATGAGATGCTTTTTAAGAAGACTTGAGAAAAAAGAATGAAATTTACATTTTTTTCTGGTTTCATTGTTGTCCAGAGTATTTCTCACTTCTACCATATTTTTTATTTTGTTTACTGCTATCTCCCCAGCTTCCCACCTGGAATCTAAGCACCACGAGGACAAGAATTCTGGGTCATTTTATTTGCTTCAGTTTTCCAGGGACTAGAGTACTGCCTGACCCAGCGTAGGCAGTTAATAAAGAATGAAGGAATATGTTCACTCATTCCACACAGATTTCTTTACTTAAGGAATCATGCAGAAAGATACCATGTATACTTCTCTCAAAAGAGCTAGACCAAAAAGAAAAAACTTGTATACTAGGGGAAAAGGTTTTCTAAATTCCTGAAGGTAGATTTTGATATAGTATTAGTCCTTACACTATAAACTAGGAGGAGTCTAAAATCCATCTACTTAAAGGTAATAAAGATGAGGCTCCACAAGGGCAGAGGCAGTGTCTCATTTTTCTCCTGAGATCAGCTCAAGTCGCAGGCCAGGTATGAAGCAATAAATAAGAGTCCACTGGAAGGGCTGACAGACACTGCTCTAGTCATCAGTCTGAACACTTACATATATTAATTCATTTGCCTTTTATACAGTCATTCTGGGGGGGGGTTGATGAGGAGGGGTAGATGGGGGAAAGGTACAATGATTATCCCCAGTGAAGAACACAGGACGTAAGAGAAGAAAAGAAATACCATGGGTGTCCCTGGTGGCTCAAGGGATTAAGACACAACCTATGAAGCAATCCGCAGCCACTGCAGCATGAGTTCTATCCCACGGCCAGCCAGGGAGCAAGCCACATGGTGCAGCAGACCTCTCCTGTCTCGCCTGCTACTCCCCTTAGCAGTGTGTTTCAGTCAGTCTGCCTGTTCTGTTCCCCACTCTGTCTCTGGTGAATCCACTCATCACCCCCAACCCCCGCAACTCTGGTTTGTACCCCAGTTCTTGTATGCATAAATAAAAAAATCTTTTAAAAAATAAAAAGAAAAAAAATACCAATACTCACTGGATTGTTTCTCAGCTCCAAACTCACCCTTTCAGCACTGCCTTGTGAAATGGACTCTGCTGCTGTAGACTACCTAGTGCCCTACCTTCCATAAAGTCTTTTGCTACCAGCAGGCTGCATGCTCTCTCTCTCTGGAGAGCACTGATTCCCAGGCTCATCCTTAGTTCCTTTATTACTCCTTCTCTCAGTTGAGACATAGTGGCTGTGCCTTCTGTTCCCTTGATGCCATTTACCCCTTCTATTAGCAATAGTTAACAATGCTTTATATTCAGTTGTTTCTGGATATGGTGATGGGAGATTCTGAATTGCCCAAGATGCTACACAAAGAAGTAATCAAAGTGGGCTTTAAACCCAGGAAGTCTGACACAGAGGACACACCTCCAGATTAACTTTCTTCCCTCTTGCCACAGGAAATATGAACTTTTTTTGGAGTTTCACTCAACAATAAAAAGGGGAATTGTGATTCCAGTGTACGATTACTCAATTGCATCTCCTCAACTACAGATAGCACAGACTAATATCACATGATGCTAAACATCAATATTTCAAACCCTTTTCACAAGCAGGCATCACCCAAACGACAATATCTATCAACCAGATGTAGCAATTAAGAGAATTAGATAATGTTGAAACATCTTTGCATTCCTCTAAGAGAAACCCCATATAAATATTAGTATTTGTGGGGCCTTCCAAGATCTCATTTTCATTTAAGTAGTCTCCTGTAAATACTATCTCCTTTCTTTTAAATTACAAAAGCTACAACCTAGAAAGTAAATGAAAGTGAAACTTGACTTAGGCCAGCAACAAACTGAGAAGTTGCAGCCACCATAAGACTGCCTTTTCTTTCCATGAGCCTCTGATAAGTGATTGAAAAGTTATATCTATACTTATCATTTCTTCATGATGAATTCAAGAATCTTTTTAGTGATGGGATTTTTAATTCGAGACTCCAAATTAACTAATTTATAAAAAGCACCAAGTCCAATACTACTATCCTGCTCATCTCCTTCTTTTGGAGGGTTATTATTAAAGCAAAATAAAAATCAGGTTGTAAAGAGATCCATATGTTTAATAAGGGTCAAATTATATTGCTCCCCTAAATCTGAGCTGTCCAGTATGGTAGCCACTAGCCACATAGAGCTGCTTGAAATTTAGCTAATCTGATTTGATTTGTCCTCCTGCTTACATTGTATTTCTATTGGTCAGCAGAGCTCTAAATAAAGAGGAAAATTTTCATAATACTATTCTTTTAGCAAGAGTTTCCAAAAAGAGTTTTAAGAATTAGGGTGGGGCCTCCCTGGTGGTCCAGGCGGTTGAGCGCAGCGCCATGAAGCTGTCCGCAGCCTCTGCAGTATGGGTTCGATTCCTGCTCGCCCGGGAGATACCCACATGCCACGGCAAACCACTCCTGTCTTACCTGCTGCTCGCCTCGGCAGTGCATTTCGTCGGTATGCCTGTTCTGCCTCCACTCTGTCTCTGGTGAATCCTCTCACCCTTCTACACATCTAGCCTATACCCCGGTTCTTGCATAAATAAATCTTTAAGAAAAAAAAAGAATTAGGGTTGGGCCTCCCCGGTGGCGCAGCGGTTGAGCGCTGGGTTGCAAAGCTGCCCGCGGCCTCTGCGGCGCCAGTTCGATCCCCGGCCGCTCCCCGGCCACCGGAGGAGGGTCCCACATGGCGTGCAGACCTCTCCTGCCGCCCGCTGCTCCCCTCAGCAGTGTACTTCGGTCCTTCTGCCTGCTCTGCTCCCCGCTCTGGCTCTGGTGATGAATTCTCTCACCCTCCCACGCTTCTGACTGTACCCAGTGCATGTATAAACAAAAAAACAAACAAACAAACAAACAAATAAATAAATAAAAAGCATGCCTCTATTAAAAAAAAAAAAAAAAGCACCTGTTTAGTATGATTGTAAGCTTAGGTGCTGTGAGTATTTTTAAAAAAAAAAAAAAAAAAAGAATTAGGGTTAAGACTACTTAGTATTTTTTAGCCAAATTACCTGTCTTTGTGAAAGATAAAAACCTATGTTTACTTATTATAATCAACTGCATTTTAGAAAGGTCAAATGATGTTTGGCCTACATGAAGTCACCGAATATTTCACCAGTTTAAGTTTTAATAACATAAACGTGTAGTCCTAAAACTTTTGTATATCTCCTATAAGTCTTCCTAAGATACTCTAACACAAAAACTACTTCCAATTTATCAAAAGTAATACTGCTCTGGACTGAATTGTATGCCTCCCCATTCATATGTTGAAGCCCTAAGCCCCAATGTGATGGTGCTTGGAGAGAGGTAATTAAGGTTAGATGAGGTCATGCAGGTGCGGCCCTCATGATGGGAGTAGAGCACTTATAAGAGGAAGAAATCACAGGTCTCTCCACCCCTCAGGATGAACAATACCGTCTACCACCTGGAAAGAGAGCCCTCACCAGGAATGGACCAGCCAGACCTTGATCCAGGACTTCTAGTCATCAGAACTGTGAGAAAATAAATTTCTGTTGTTTAAGCCACCCAGTCAATGGCATTTTGTTACGGCATCTAAAGCAGACTAATACACTTAAAACAATCTTTTTTAGTAAATATCATAATGTTTACTTATTGCTAATTATGAATATATACTTTTTTTAATTATATAAAGGCATGTACAAAGAGAACAATAACCGTTTGATGGCCCCTACAGACCAATTCACTCATAGGTCAGCTTGGGAACAAGGGGAAAAGGTCAGGGAAAATGATGATTTTAAAACACTGTAAAGTTTTTCATTCTTAACTTTACCTAAAATATTTTCTTCAGTAAATGGAATTCATATTCCCACTTGAGCTGAAAATGCTAAGTTGTTAATATCTCCCCTAGGGACTTGCTTCTTAGAATGACACCTTCAATGATTTCATCATAGTTTAAGCATAATAAAATCTCATTTTATGCTCCAAGGCATGAACGATCCTAAATGTTCCTCAATCAGTATGGTACTCAGCCTTGTGGCTTTTGGAATAACATTTAAAAAAGGCATTACAGAAAAAGGTAAGAAAGGGCCCCTGGTCTAGGGAATAAAAAAGTATGCTTTGTTTCTTCAGAAACAGTCAAAACGTCTTCAGGTTTTTAAAGCTACCTGGTCTTAAGAATGAAAGAAAGAGAAAATGGAAGCGAACCAAATAGGGTAGTTGATTTAATCCCTGCTATTTAATCTCTATTTAATCTCTTCTACCACATTTCAGAGCTGCAAGGGACCTCCGAAGTCCAAGAAATCTATACAAAATTTTGTTTATGGTATACATATTTTCTGGGAAAAGGGCCCTGAACTTTCAACATAATAGCCAAAGAGATAGTGACCAAAAGGTCAAGAATCTGCTTAAGGGTTTACTTTATGGAACTGAACAAACATCTCTCCCTCACACCTGACCAGGTGTAACCAGCCTCCCCACTTGCTGCCAACCACTAAGACATCAGGATGTGTACCAGGCCATTTTCACTATTTGCTTGGTCACCTTATTTCTCCAGGTGTGTGTAGGTTTATATTCGTTGGCTTCAACTTCTCCCTTCCTTGGCGGTTGTCCTGTTTTCTATATAGCCCACGAAATACGAGTGGATCCCTCACTTAAGTGAGACCCATGGTGGAACTTAACACATTTATCAACACACCTTCCCTCCTTATTTACCTCTCCCCGCTTCTGGGGCTACCTGAATTGGCGTCGTGCTGGATGAGTTGTCCACTCTCTATTCTCTTTGTATCTGTGTCTAGAGATGCTCACACAGCTCGGGGTGAGCATGTCGGCTCACATTCTGCACTGCCATTCCCAGGCGGTGTATTCTTCCATCCCCACCCTAAAGATGTTGTGAGAAAGAAAAGGTGCGCTCTCCGCTCCCCCAGTGTAGTATATAAAACTAATAAATATTATTAAAAACTAATAAAAAGCATTCTGTTGCCTTGAATTATTTGGGCATATTTTGGTGCAGGTGGCAGCGTGCTCTGAGCCGCCCTTCCTTGGCCATTTCTTCCCTAAGAGTCCTCAGAGGAATGGAGCACCCCCCAACGCTACACCCCTCTTCTCTTCCCACCACCACGTTCCAAGTTCCCTCCTTGCCTATAACTCCAGGTCTTCCTGCGACCCTCTTTGTACTGGGGCAAATAATCGCAGCTCACTCTTCTGTACTCCCCAATACATCCTAAAATCTTTTTCGTTTCCTTGCAGAGCACAGCTGGGTAAGTTTCTTTGGCCCCCTAAAACTTGCCTAAAACCCAGACTCTGGCCCTTCGACATCCTGGCTCAGTCGGGAAGAGCGGGCTGGCCAGAAGGGTCCCCGACACCCCGACTATTTCTAACAAGGTCGGCCCCGGGGAGCGGCGGCCGGCGGCCGGCGAGCTCGGGGCCGGGAGCCGGGCCCCGACCCCCGCCGCCGGCCGGGCCCGCCGTCCCCGGCGTCCCCGCGGGAGGACCGGCCGGCCGGGCCGCGGGCGCAGCGGCGCGGCCTCCGGCTCGTCCTCGGGGCGCCGCGCGTCCAGGCCGGTGGGTGGCGGCGGCGGCCGGGGCCCGGGGATGGCGGCGGCCCGGCTCCGCCAGCAGGTGGCCCCGGGGTCCCGGCGGCGCCGCCTCCTCTCCGGCGCCCCTCCTCCCGCGGGGGCGGTCAGCGCCCCGACCCGGCTCGCACCCCGCCGCGGCCGCCAACGCCGCCGCCCTCGGCCCAGCCCGCCGCGTCCCCGGGGCCGCGCTCGCCGCCGCCGCGTCCTGCGCTGCGCCCAGGCCGGCCCGCGGCGAGCGCCCAGGGCGCCGGCAGCACCGGCCCGCCGCGCCGCGCCCTCCCCGCCCCCAACTCGCTCCCCAACGGAAAGTTCGGCTCGGGCGGCGTGGGGAAGCGCGGCGGGCACGGGCAGGGGCCGGGGGGTGTGCTGAGGGCCCCGGGAGGCGGCGACGAGGAGGGGGCAACTTCTCCCGGGAAAGCGCCTCCCGCCGCGCCCCGCGAGCCGCAGCCCCCGAGGGGGCTGAGGTGGTTTTTCCCTCGGCGCTGCCTCCCCCCTGCGGCTTCGAGGCGCGGACCTTGGTCCCGGCGCGCCCGCCGCCCGCCGGGTGACAAGAGCCAGCGCCGCCGCCCGCCTCGGCCGCCGCGCGCGCCCGCCCGCCGCCCCCGGCCGCAGCCCCGGCCCCCGCCCCGGCCCCGGCCGGCACCATGGAGTTCTCCGAGAGGAAAAGAAGCCGGAAATCCCAGAGCTTCAAACTGGTGAGCCGAGGTAAGCGGCGGCCCGGGGCCGGGGCCGGGGCCGGGGCCGCGCAGGGGGCGGCGGGCGGGCGGCGGAGAAAGGACTTGGCGCCGCGTCAACAGCCCCGCGCCGGGCCCGCCGCCGCCCCCCGCCCCGGCCGCCCGGCCGGCCAACTCCCGGGGCCCGGCTTCCGGGACCCCCAAAGTCCCCACCCGTGGGGGGCCGCGGCCGCACACGCCGGGCGGCGAGGAAAGTTGTTCGTGGGGGGAAGGCAGGAGGTTATTCCGCGTAAACAAGTCGGAGGGCACATCTTGAAATTAGCAAACAATGACACTTGGGGAGCCGAAAGCCCTCTTTGGTATTCCACTCCTGCGGCCAGGTTGGGGGGTGGGGGAGAGCTGCCTTTCCATCAGGCCGTGCGAGCGCGGAGCCCGACCAATGGTTGTGGGGGTCAGGATTTTCCCCCCCTCGGAAGAGAAGGGGAGAAGGTGGTGCCGGTTCTTTCAAGAGCGAGGAAGGAGCTCGTTAGGTGTGCAAGCCCAAATAAGAATTGTTGACATGCAACATCTTTTCCGGAGACGTGATTTGGGTTGGAAAGGTGTTTTAGAGCACATCGCTTATCAGTCAGATAAGTATCATTAAAAAAAAAAATTCCAGCCAGCTCCTGAGGATTTAACAGGTGTGCACCGTAGGCTTTGGGATTGGGTTTATTTTGTCAGGGGAGGAGAAAGTTGAGTAGGCTTGTCTGTTCAGTTACTTGTTAGAGTCCTTATTTTCCTGAGTTTTGAAAAAACGATGAGAATTTAAGGGCAGAGAGAAAAATGTCTATCAAAATGCACTGGTCGCCTTCAATTAGAGACAGGTGACTTTTTTTTTTTTTTTTTGCATTGTAAAAATCACAAGTTCTGATACTGAATTTAGAACCATCCTGTTTAAGTATCTTTTTTGAAGCAATTTGAGGTCAACAGCAAACCACAGAACCCGTCCACTTTTCCTGATGGTTTTATCTAGCATTGCCATCAGAGTAGAGAGCAAGCCTAGTGTTTTCACAACCTGAAGAAGGCACATGTAAGCTGATGAAAATTAGGAGGCAATAGCAAGTAATAGAGCTGTTAAGCTAAACTAAACTGATATAGATTTGGTAAAGATTGCTTTCAGTTGGTCTGAAAATGGTCTGATAATAGACATTTTTAATATTTGATAGTCCTGTCTGTTTCCCCTGATTTAGTTTGGCTACTGTTTAATGAAAGAGGCCTGAAATAGTTTTCATGTATTCAAAATATTTGGCTCTTCCCTCTTTCTATGTAAATTTTTTCCAGCAGTGTTGATTACCCTGTCATTTGTACTTTAGAAGTCACTCCATATGTTGACTGGTCTGTTAGTCTATCTGATTTATTCAGGATTGTGGATTGCCTTCTTACTTATGACCTCAGGAAGTTTGCTGCTTTATCCTGATAGCGAGAGTAGTATTGTAGATAGACCTTGTCCTGTGAGGTCCAAAAACAAAAAAAATGGAAAAGCTGGTGGGAAGAAAACTAGGCAGTCCTACTTTTTTTAGAAATAGAAGATTGACAAAGCATAGTAACCTCTATTAGACACTTGTAAGAACATATTTTAAAGTATATCTGACATAGCAAGTTTTTCTTTTTCCTTTAAAAAACAGTATCAGTCTGATTCTTCTCTCTACTCAGCCAAGTGCATTTTTAGAAAATAAACGTTCACATGTTAAAGTACAGTAGCTAATACAAAAGATTTACTTGTGTGAAAGGTGAGAGTCTTGCTTTCTTATCCAAATTATACCATATTTGAAATGACAAATCAGTATTTTTCATGTTTGCTTCCCTGTAAGCTACTTAAAGACTAGGATCTTTCTGGGTAAACTGAGAAAACAGAGTTCCGGGTAACTCTAAAGTTTACTATCAGTGTACTTATGAAAATGGGTTGTGGAGATAAATTTGGAATCCTCCCCTGGCCTGTGATTGGACAAGGTTTTCTTTTTCTCATCAACAAACTTGTCATTTGAAAGATAAGAAACCTGGTAATTGGCATCTGTGGCCAAATTTACTGTGAAAACTGTGTGATAAAGCTGTTTTCTGAAGTCAAAGTAAATATTTCAAGTTTGTGTGCTTCCTCAGAGTAAGCAAAGTTTTACATATTGACCCCAAATCCTGTGATTGATCAAATTCTTATAAATTGAAATATAGATTACATATACTATACATAAGGAGATTCTAGACCTTATTGCTTATTCATATCTTGCAGGTCATTAGAACTCTAATTTTCGGTTGTTTTCTCATCCAGATTATCACCATGAGGTATATAAGAGCTCAGAATTCAGCAACGATGTTAATGGGGAGGCCAAAGAGACACAACCCATTTTTTTAGGTAGGTTCCTATGTCAATTAATTTCTCAGCAAAACAGTGTGACCATTTGCAATTAGGGGGAAAAAAATAAGATTGTGCCAGAACGGGAAATGTCTGCCATTGCTTTATGTATGACATTCTTTTCAAGACCTTTTATTTTACAGATTGCCAATATATCCCTTATTAACATTGCTAAAAGTTGTAATTTCAGACATAAATGTTTATTAGTGTCTACACACAGTGCTAATTATCACTCACTCCCAGAGCCAGATGCTGACTGTGCAGTTTTGTGGCTCTGCGCTCACCCCATTTACATTGCATATTCGCTGGCATGCTTCACTGGCAATAGTTTGTGTAATTGGGGTATTACATCTTTGACATCTGGATAACAGAAATTCAATTTCCAGGAAGCTGCTATTTGTTTGGTTTTGCTTCTGCCTTGGGTGGGATAGAGGATTAATGTGCTGTCTTATTATAATGTCCCTTCACCTCTGTGGCCTGGTTGCTAATCCTGCCATGACAAAATTAAATTAAATCTAGTCAAAACCGTACAGAAAATAAAAGTGTGATTGTCTGCCTAACCACCTCTTGATAGTACTAGTTATTATTGAGCAACTCCTCATTTTCCTGGCTTTGTGTTCATTTTCATACCCACATTTTTGGTCAGAGAGAATAGCCATGCTTTGCTCTTACCTCCTCATTCCCAGCTTACCTTGGGGACAAGCAGAGCAAAAGCAGCTTCTTTAAGGCCTTCCAACAAGTATCGTTGCATGAAGGATAACTAGGTGGCCCAAAATGTGGCCACTCTTTCCATGTGTAGTTTTTGGTACAAATAATCTCATGAAGGACCTTGCATATGCAATTTATTATTTGCAGATCATGAGCCAAAAATGAACTGATTTAGAATTTTGTTGCTAGGAGTAGTGGTGTTTGGCTTCCATGTCGCCCGTCCTCAGCACCTGTGCAACCCCTTGTAGAAGGAGAGAGATGGATGAGAAAGTTCACGCGGGAGTGATTAAAAGGGCCAGAATTCCATATCCCTGAGGAGGTGTGGTAGTGCTTAAGGAAGCAGGGTTGCTGCTTAGATCAGTGTGAGTAAATTAAAACAATGTGAAAGCCCATGTGTAGAGTTCTGTCACTAGCAGCTTTTTCTTGATTTAAGGAGAAAGAGTGGGTTGCAAAGGACTCTGAGAATAGAGGTAAAACAGGAGGGAAATTACAGCCTTTCCCCCACAAGCAGTCGTTGAAGCCTCATGGATCTTTCCTTCGAGGAGAGGATATTACTGAAGCCAGTGCTACTCTCAGCACCTGTTTACTGTTCAAAGAACTAAAAGCCAAAGGGTTA